TTCGCAGCTCCACAGAAGTGACGGAGGCGCTGCGGTCTTCATGAATGGCACTTCTGACAAGTCCCTCTTGTTGCTTTTCGCTGTTAGATGATATTGGAATTGAATAACGTGAAGAAAAGACTAGTGAGCCAGAAGCTTCGGTAGGATATCGCTTCGCATAAAGCATACAGAGAAGACATGGAATTCGGTTAAGAGGCTGCCAAATCTTACTTCGGGTGTCCTTTATGATTTTTTTTGTTCTTTCTCCTTCCTTAGAGTCATTTAGCGACTACTGGTTTGTGTTTGGACGCGCCTATCCACAGTATACAAACGCGGGATTTGTCGTCAAGGAAAGCGCGGCCCTACGAGTAGCGCAGTCGTCGTGCAGCGCTACCGTCAAGGCGGTGCTCCTCCAACTATGTGAGCTTCGCATGTCAGCCCTACATTTTGCACCTCACGCGCTCAGATGTTTTGTTATGACCTTGATGCTATAAGAACGGGAATGATGAAATGGGGATCTTACCAGGGAAATCCGCCAACTTACCATGGAATTTTGAATGGAGACCTGGGTAGATCGATAGTCTATAAGGTTATTTACAAATATAGCAGCAAAACTGCAACCTGCATTTCACAAGCAACTTATGAGCAGGTAAAGTTTGTAATGGTGCAGTAGGGTGGAGGCTTGGTGGTGAGCTGTGAAGCGAGGAATCGCATACGTCGAATCGAGTCGTGGTGGTTCAGTGGTAAGGTTCGACGTTCGACGACTCGATTCGACGCGATTCCTCGCTTATGCTTCACAGCTCACCACCAAGCCTCCACCCTACTGCACCATTACAAACTTTACCTGCTCATAAGTTGCTTGTGAAATGCAGGTTGCAGTTTTGCTATCTATATTTGTAAATAACCTTATAGACTCTATCGATCTACCCAGGTCTCCATTCAGAAGTTCCATGTTAAGTTGGCGGACTTCCCTGGTTAGCGGTTTTGGAGAGCCAGTAACTAGGCGCGACAGCACGGGAAATGGGAAATACCTCCGTATAAAACGTTCTCATCGCACTCGGAAGAATTCTCATGGCTATCTATCAGGTGTGACCCCAGCCCCCCCCCCAACTGATTTGAATCTCACCCGTGAGGCTATACCCTCTTGGTAATTTAATAACACTTGAATCAGCCGTTATGGTCGAGTGACACGTTGTTTTTAAAATTAAGGGGAAATAGGAATTACTTATAATCACTCACCCGAATTCTTTCCTAATAACAGAAAAGAATGCCGGACAGACACCTCCTCGACGTACTATGAGATCACGATGTGTCTTTTCTATCTCGGTAAAACTGTAGTCCTGGTCATAGTACGATGAGAAATCTCCCTGCAAAGAGTCAGTTCAGTGAATCATGGCAGTTAAAGAAAACGACTTTCAAGCAAAGAAAGTTACCCACTCGTACTGGTTCGACTAGGAAAAGCTTTTTGCTATTACGGGTGGCCATCGAGTGCGTGCACATGTACGTTATTGCGTTTTGACTTTTGCCACAGTTTCCTATCTTTCGAAACTTGAATCTTCCTCCCTTGAGGAGACCGACGAAAGTCTAAAAATCAGTTACCAGTACAGTATTTTTGAAACATATGCTACTTCAATTTTAACATGTTGTTCGTTACCATGAAAGTCAATTGAGGAACAGAAACATCTGTGGGTGAGAAAGCAGTCTGGGATACAGTTGCTCCGAGCTCCGCATCACAGAATGGTGAGTCATGCGGCTCATATAATAACGATAACAGGATGGAAATTAACACAGTAGTGAAGAGTAAAGCAGGAAGACCGACCCCAAATGCCCCTTATAGGATTCCACGAGCAGCAGCGCTTGTACAGCCCAGAAGGGGCGCGGGCCGAGTGAGTTCTCACTTGTTGGTGCCAACTCTTTGTCCTTATCATCTCACAAACGGAATTGTAAGAGTGAGTAATATCACCACCAGTAAATCTCTAAAAATGATAACTGGGCGTTGCGGTGGCCAGAAGGCGGAGGTGGACCCGTCGCAAACTGCTAGCACTTTCCTCACCTGTGCTCGAAATTGGTAAATCCTTCATGCTAGTGGGGACATTTACTGGTGAGGAGATGTCTGGTAAGAAAACAATACGATAATGTGTACAGTGCAAATGCCAAGCATCATGTGCGGACAGAGTGACCCCCTCCTCATTAATGGAAGGTCAAATATAACCCTCCTGCCCTTACGTATTCTACGACACATGCTTGAGCCTGGGCCCGCTTTCCAGCTAGACTTAACATTTCTTGCAGAGGCACAGCATGGGAACCAGAGCACACGTTGTTGGAGATTTCCCAACGGGGGATATTTGGTCACCGGGCCGAGAAAATTTTTTGATAGCTGATTTTTCTCGTTTCAGCATGTTTCAGGGACGCTATAGGGAGAGGGAGTCGTATCTGCTCGTTGGTGGGCGAGAAGGGTCCTATTCGCCTCCTGGTCTTTTTGGAGAGGTTAATGACTTTTCAAGGTTTCTCCTGTTTCAGTGAATTACATATAGTCTTCATCATTGCGGACTGTCGGGTCGCAGTCAGCAGTTCCTGCCTGCGGCCTTCCCACCAGTGGCTGATTCCTTCTTACATCGATCGTTGCTCGATCACCATTGGTAGAGCAAGGCGGCCGGACGCGAGTTCGTGCCGAGCTGCCCCCGACAAATTGCAATGTTACAAACTGCACCCCCCTCCCCGCTCGACAGCTCGATGAGGAGGTAACCAGGAGCTAAGCAAAAGCAACTTCTTACGGAGGTTCGTACGGACTCGACCAAATTCCTCAACCAATGATGTGCCCTGATGGGTAGCCTTGTGCAACAGTGTCTCTAACATTTTTCCGGAAGTAAATAGGCAAAATGATCATCTCGTTCGAACGAACCTCACAAACTGACCACTTCTTGAACTTTATGGTCGTCACATGAAAAGGAAGATTGTGTTCCACGGAGACATGTGCGCAGAAACGTCTTGGTTGCATGAGATGATTGGTACACTGAAAAATGGTGACCACTTTCTAGCACATGTTTTGTTCTGCCCTAATTTACAACTCTGCAAGAAATTTGCGATTCCAATCAGCATTATCACAGCTGTTCATTAGAATAATTCCAAAAAACCGACGGCTTCGTTCCCCATGGATGGTAAAAAGTAAAAGAGGCGAGGTATTTGCCAGTGCCAGGCCGTTTTTTTTTTTCCGGCGAGCAACAGAACCGTATCATATCGATTGCATCTGTCGCTTACTACCAATCGGCGCTTACCCGCTTCAACATCTGGGAGAGAAGGGGCTAGCGGCGAGCCAAACCCCGACACGCCCCGTCTCCGCAGTGAACAAGGCTGTGCACACGCAGTCCCGATCTACCGGAGAGCACGATGGTTATTTTGGCAAAACTTGAGGAATCATACCTTTTCTAGGCCACAAACGAGCCTTAGGTTTATTTCAGTCTCCTCATCGAGGTCAACTTCAGCAAGATGCAAGTCTTTATCATCGGATCCCTGCAAAAAGTCGATAAAAGGGCAAGAAAAGTAGAGGAAGGATAATCTATCTCGCTGATCAATCTCTTCGGCATGTGGCGCTCATTTGACATCCATCTGGAATCATGGTGGCATTTGAATGGGATTTTACCTCGGCAACGAGTTTCGAGAGCTCACCGTTTTACGAGGCCGAGGTGGGGTGGTGACAAGTGGCGCGACTACCTTTGGCGCGGCCCTGGGTTCGAATCCCGGGTCGACTCCCGCTCAGGCCAACCAAGCTTTCTACCCTACGAAAACGGTAAATTGGTACCAGATTCTTCTGGAGGATAAGAACACCAACTAGTCCCCGCAATTATTGTACAGGCCTCATCGCATTCAATAAGCCACTACGATTCTGAATGGAAGTGATGCGTGCCGCGTTCCACGGGATGATTAACGGCAGATTTTATCCATTTACTGTTTTACTTCCCAGGCGAGGGTCAGTTAAGAGAACCGACGAAATGAAAAATTTGCTTACAGTGGAGAGCCTCGAGCTGGGACTCCACTGCCAGATCAAGCTCATGACGAACAGAATCATTCTGCTCACCGACAAGAGCACCAGAGACAAAGACTCAGCTGCTAATCAATCCCTTTCGGCTTGCATTCTACTTCCATTCAGAACCGTAGCGGTTTATTGAATGCGATGTGGCCCATACAGTGAACTGCGGAGCCAGCCGATGTACTAGTCAGTGTTCTTATTCTCCAGACGATCTGATATCAATTTACCGTCCGGGAGGGTGGGAGGCTTGGTTGAACTCGGCGGAGCCGATCGGGAATTGATCCCCACACCTGCGCGTGGTAAACCACGAGGTACTACGTCACCTCCGCCTCAATTAGTCCATATCTGGCAATATTCCTTCGACGGCGATGTTGAACCATATCCTGGGCACTGAGAGGGCGTGCTCAGAAGGTGCCGGACAAGAGATGACGCAGCGCAGTTGCGTCAACGCATGCTCCCTCCGAATACATTTGCCGGAGCCATATTGCATTTCAATTCGCTGTTCCAGAGCTGTCCGTCTCACAGGGAAGCATGGCAGCTTACATCTTTCGTAGGCCCATCAGAACAGGGGAGAAGAATGTTTTCAGAGAAGACAGCATGTGCCAGATGTGGATGCCGGTAGGACAATTATCCGCTCAAATGCCTCAACTATTTTGATTACCATAGAGATGCGCGCCCCGCCCACCGCTGTGACTTTTCTGGAGGAGTAGGACCACCATGTGTCTTGCTCGCTGCGTCCCTCAATAAATCGTCCAACCATGCTTCCAAGATGGTAACGAGGAAGCACACGCTAATAAGAAAGCTCCAATGGTGGGCATGACCCCGTCCATATGACTAGTGCGAACCGTGTCACTAGGACAGTGGATGCATCGCAAATATCTATATACGGCTAAATGATGTTGAGAAGGGATTAAAAGGAAAAGAAGCCAGAGTACCGTTATGACCGAACTTCGTGGCTCAACAGCGTTAATGGGTTTAGTTCGGTCAAAAACGTCTATAGGTTATAGGCTTTCTCGAATTCGGTCGCTTGGCTTCCATGCAGATTCGATGGTGCCAACCCTGAAATGAGGGCTAATTTCCAGTTTTACGACTTCCACATACTTTGATCAGTAGTACCATATGAGCAAGATGATGAAGTCGAAGGAGCATCAACATCGATGTACACCTAGAATTAGATGTGCTGGATATACTATAGCCACTTCTGTGGACTGTGGAAGTAAAAACCCAGAAATATTACAGCAGTATTCTTGGCACCGTCACTGTTTTCGTCGCTGATGTATTTCTCCCATCGATTTTCGTCCTCCTCTTTCGAAATTACCAAAAGGTTTCCGTTCCAGTGGCATTGGTAGTCTTTCTGGAAACCAATTCCGAATTTTTAGCAAAAATTTTAGAATTTTCCTCTTTTGCGTATCTCGTTCATACCATATGAACTAGACTGAGACGCAGAACCATGCTGAAGAGCTTCGTCGTTGCATGATTCTGTAAATAGAGTGCCACTGGTTACAAAAGAGAAAGGTGAGTGCACATTCAACTTTGGAAATGTGGGCGGAGTCACTTCAATCACTACGAGATCCTCATTGGTGCGCGCTTCCCTTCATTCCAAATGGGGGTTCACCGGTGGAAAGGCGCTAGGGAGATGAAATAGAAGCAAGCAGTAGATGAAAATCATTAACATCGCCACACTTCACTAGATGGCCTTCACCAAATCACGTCTTTGGAGCCACACGCGATATTTGCTGTGAGTTAGGTACTGACGCTACTTTCATAGTAGGGCTTCGAAATGGCAAGATCGCACCCGCCCAAAGGCAGTTGGCACGATAAATTTCAGCAAGTAGGACTTGATACGCCTGGCAAGTGCACAGAATTCCCGACCCTGAGCGCCGCCTCTTTCGAGCGCCTTATCCGAAAAAGGTGCCCTTCTAAGGGCCCTGCCATGCTAAAACTTATCGACCCAAACGCCCGCCACGCCCCCCCCCCGCTCACAAAATGGGTGACCGCTCCTTGCTCGTATTGCTGCATTAGCTAAGTGAAATATGAAGCGAAGCGCAGCTACATGGATATATGAGTACATACGTGCAGCCTTACCTATCGTAGGGTTACTGGCAAGATGCATACGGGGAAGTTCGAATTTTTTTTGACTTATTAAGAACGAGGGCTTTTCTTTGCAGGTCTTTGTTCACCTCGTTTTATATCCATTTTCTACACTATATAGCGCCCTGGTAGCATTTTAGCCTGAGTACAAAATTATCGTGCCAACTCCTTTGGAAGGCAGGTTGGCCACTGATATTTCGGTAATGGCCTAAAATGCTAGCGCAGGGCGCCAGTGTTATATGGGGAAAATGGCGAAAAAACGAATGCTGAAAAGTCAAAGACCACGAAGCGAAACCTCGGTCCTTACGGCAACGAGTTTTCCGTGGACATCTTGCCAATAACCGCTATCGGTGGTACGGCTGGGTGTGCGTTCCCATATAACCATGCAGCACCGCAGCCACTTCATATTCATTCATCTCTTCGCTTCATATTTTACTTTGCAAATAAAGCAATACGAGCGTCAGGTACGGTCGTCCATTTGTGGGCGGGCGGGCGTGGTGGGCGCTCGGGTCGTAATGTTGTAGCTCGATATGGCCCTTCTAAGGGTGCCTCCCTAAGAAAAGGCGCTACGTAGCACCTGCTTACAAGGAATGGATGGTTGGTCGAAGTGGCCATTCAAAACAAGATGTATACTCACTGATGCGTCTTCGGACGCTGATTTCAAATCTGCTTTCCATATCTGCTGAACGATTCTCTGAGCAGAGATATGCAGGAGGTTGTTGTACGGAGCACAATTGAGCTTGGTACACAAATGAGACGTGAGTCGTCACACGATGTGCCTCGGTGATCTAGTGGGTAGTATGCCGGGTGGGTAGTATGCCGAGCTTAAGTATACGAGGTGAGAGGTTCGAATCCTTGATGGATGTGCTCTTTTGCATTGTTTCAGCAGTGCTCTCTGGAAGTTTTTAACACAGCCTAGCATGATCAGGGAACCTTGTCATGCCATGAATAGGGCTTTTCTTGGAAAACTGAACCATTCTCGCCTGTGAACACTTCTAATGATTTATTTTGCTCATATAGTGGGTACAAACAAGTTTTGTGATTCAAGAACAAATGTGATAATCCAGAACAAAGTGTTGGAAGCAAAAAAGTTTCTCGCAATGGGAACACCGGATAATTGGTCGAGGTGGTCATTTGTAATGAGATGTACACCGGCTGATGCGTCTTTGGACACTGATTTCAAATCTGCCCTCCAAATCTGCTAAACGATTCTCCGAGCAGAATTATGGAGGCTTGTTGAGCAGACCACTGCTCGAGACCACCAATGCTCAGCAAGTATCTAAATGATGGGTGAGCTCATTGCACACGTGCGTCAGTGGCGTAGTGAAGAAGCGAGCGGATTCGTTTGTGCAAGGTCGAGGGTTCGAATCCTTCCGTGATTTGTCATTTTGCATTTTCTCAAAAATGCCTCCTGCACATCCGGAAAGCACTTCTGCGAGGCTAGGAGACCTGATTCTACCAAAAAATTTTATTTCTGATGTGATAGAGCCATTCTGGAACACTCCTAGTGGGAACTCCTGATTGTTGGTTTCGGCGGCATTATTCGTTCCGTCGTGTTGTGAGGCCAAACTGATTCCAGATGGCATGGAAGCCAAAAGTGGATGTCGTGGTTGTTATCAGGACCGTCAGTAACCAACAAGGACTAAGATTTAGCGAGGAACCTCCACTGCTCACAGA